TTTTATAGCCAGCATTGCAATGTATTTACGTGCCAGATATGCTAAACATTCGCCTGCCCCTTCATGCTTCGGCCACCATTCCAGAGGACATGCTTCCATGCAGATGATGCTCGTTAAAAAAAACAGTGTATTAATTAAATTTGTTACTGAACTCCTTGGGGGAGAATTGTATGTCTCCTGTTCTGTTTTTCCTGCATTCTGCCATATATTTCATGTTATAGCAGTCTTGGATGATGACCTAGCACATGTTTGTTTTAAGAATACTTTCACTGCAGACTTGACAAAACGCAAAGAAGGTACCAATGTGAGATTTCTAAAAATAGCTACAGCACTTGACCCAAGGTTTTAGAATCTGAAGTGCCATCCAAAATCTGAGAGGGATGAGGTGTGGAGCATGCTTTCAGAAGTCTTAAAAGAGCAACACTCAGATGCGGAAACTACAGAACCTGAACCACCAAAAATAAAATCAACCTTCTGTTGAAAATGAATGTGTCAGTCCACTCTGCTTTGGATCGTTATCAGAACCCATCATCAGGATGGATGCATGTCCTCTGGAATGGTGGTTGAAGCATAAAGGGACATATGAATCTTCAGCACATCTGGCACATAAATATCTTGCGACCTGGTTACAACAGTGCTATGCACCTGTTCTCACTTTCAGGTGACATTGTAAACAAGAAGCGGGCAACATTATCTTCTGCAAATTGTAACCAAACGTGTTTGTCCGGGCGATTGGCTGAAGTAGGACTGAGTGGACTTATAGGCTTTAACGTTGTACATAGTTTTATTTTTGAATGCAGGTATTTTTTGTACATAATTCTACCTTTGAAAGTTCAACTTTCATGATAAAGAGATTGCACTACAGCACTTGTATTAGGTGAATTGAAAAATACAATTTATTTTGTTTTTTACAATGCAAATATTTGTAATAAAAATAAATATAAAGTGATCACTGTACACTTTGTATTCTGTGTTGTAACTGAAAGCAATATATTTGAAAAGGTAGAAAACAGCCAACAATATTTTTTAAAATGCCATTCCATTGTTTAACAGTGCGATTAATTGCACAATTAATCAAGATTAATTTTTTTAATCGCTTGGCAGCCCTAGTAATTTTGTTTTGTCTGTAAATTTTGTCCCCCCTCTCCCGTACAGATCCTTGGGGGATCCCACTATTTACCCTCTCCATTGTGAAAACTGAGCATTTCGTTATACCCTTTGTTTCCTATTTTTAACCAGTTACTGATCCATGAAGGAACCCTCCCTCTTATCCCATGACTGCTTACTTTGCTTAAGAGACTTTGGTGAGGGATTTTGTCAAAGGCTTTCTGGAAGTCCAAGTGCACTATATCCACTGGATCACCATTGTCCACATGCTTGTTCACACCTCAAAGAATTCTAATTCATTGGTGAGGCATGATTTTCCTTTACAAAATCCAAGCTGACTCTTCCCCAACAAATCATGGTCATCTATGAGTTTGATAATTCTGTTCTTTAAGAACATAAGAACAGCTATACTGGGTAAAACCAAAGGTCCATCTAGCCCAATATCCTGTCTTCCGACAGTGGCCCAATGCCAAGTGCCCCAGAGGGAATGAACAGAACAGGTAATCATTAAGCGATCCATCCCCTGTTTCTGGTAACTGAGGCTAGGGACACCAACCCTGCCTATCCTGGCTAATAGCCACTGATGGAACCATCCTCCATGAATTTATCTAGTTCTTTTTTGAACCCTGTTATAGTCTTGGCCTTCACAACATCCTCTGGCAAAAGAGTTCCATGGAATGACAGTGCATTGTGTGAAGAAATACTTCCTTTTGTTTGTTTTAAACCTGCTTTACTTTATTATAGTTTCAACCAATTTGCCTGGTACTGAAATTAGGCTTACCAGCCTCTAATTGCCAGGATCACCTCTGGAGCTTTTCTTAAAAATAGAAGTTACATTAGCTGTCCTCCAGTCATCTGGTTTCAGAGGCTGATCTAAGTGATAGGTTATGACCACAGTTAGTAGTTCTGTAATTTCATATTTGAGTCCCTTGAGAACTCTTGGGTGAATACCATCTGATCCTGGTGACTTCTTACTGTTTAATGTATCACTTTTAGGGCTGTCGATTAATTGCAGTTAACTCACATGATTATCTCAAAAAATTAATCTCAATTAAAAAAATGAATCGCAATTAATCACATTTTTAATCACACTGTTAAACAATAGAATACCAATTGAAAAGTATGAAATATTTAATAATGATTATTAAATATCCTTAATAGTCACTTAAAATCTATCTTTTTCTAGTTAATAAACTGGATTTATTGCGTCATTTTGATTGAAGTGTTTGGGAAACCTCTACTTGAGATAACAAATGCTGGTACATAATCATTCTGAGTGTTGGAATGACAGACTGTCTATGAGATTATACGGTCCAGGGGTCTACTGAGCAGTATAAAATATAAATATAAATCCTCAAAACGTAACATTAATACCAAATTATTTATCACAGATGGGTGTTTACAAGTATCTTTATGATACTACAGCCTCTGTTTAGATAGTGTAGTTTGAGGTTAGTTTGTTCATTACCCATTGTGTCCTTTGACTCTCTCCCATGTAATTAGTCACTGGCTTTTCTTTCCCTCCAGTGTTTCCCTTTGTGTGGGCTCTTAATTTAATCATGCTTTTGGCATTTTGGTGCCTCAGGGTCTGGCAAGATTGGTGTTCAGGGGGATCCTGCACATTGGCTGGCCCTTTGGGGAGCGGTCTCCCCACCCCAGGACTATACATATGCAGAAAATCCAGCTCCCCTTTTGGGGTTACCCTGTTTCCCCCTCCCAGCACTGAGTCCTTCCCTGCCCCCTAGAGGGCTGTGATCTGTGCTCTCTGGGCTAGGTGTGTTTACCCTTTGATCAGATGCACCTTTTCCCAGCAACTTTCCCATAACTGCTCTCTGTGTCTCACCAGCCTGGGGAAAACACCCCCTTCTCTGTCAGTTGGATCATTTGTATTCTGGCAAACTACCACCTGGCAATTTCCTGGTTCCAACTCCTCTGTTATCACAGGCATTGGAGCTGCATCTTGATTTAAAGACACACAGTTACTTTCCAAAAACTTACCAGAAGTAGCATCCTGAAAAATTGGGACCTGGATTGGGGTACTCTCCTCCACCCCTTTGTCTGTCCCTGAGAAGTCAGCTGTGCGACTGCTCCCCTCCAGGACGTTAGGTACACAGTTCCTTCTCAAAACCTGGATCACAGGCTGAGTGTCTGGGTGCACAGATGCTGACCCAGCCATCCTCCTAATGTCCTGGGCATCTGGCCCAAGTGACCAGTGAAGAGACATTCCTGTACTCCATTATTCCTTCCCCAGTTTTCTCCTCTGGGCCCCCACCTAAGACACATTTCTCTGTGCTCCCTAGGAAGGGTTCTGTCTCTTGTTCACTGCTAGGGTTACCATATTTCAACAATCAAAAAAGAGGATGGGAGGAGCCCCGCCCTAGCCCCGCCCCTGTCCTGCCCTAGCCCCGCCCTTTCCACTCCCTCCCACTTCCTGCCCCCTCAGAATCCCCAACCCTCCCCCCCACGCCTTGTCCCCTGACTGCCCCCTCCTGGGACCCCTGCCCCTAACTGCCCCCCAGGACTCCACCCCCTACCTAAGCCTCGCTGCTCCTTGTCCCCTGACTGCCCCCTCCTGAGACCTTCCCCACATCCTAACTGGCCCCCTAGGACTCTCTACCCCCTACCTGTCCCCTGACTGCCCGAACCCTTATCCACACCCCCACCCCAGACAGACCCCT